GCGTGCCTCGGGAGTTTCTCAATTGGGCAGTGGCTTCTGAGTCATCGGGAGCACCGTCTGCCCGACTCTGGCATCCAATTGAAGCAATTTGATAGTCCCATAGGGACGATCAGCCAGGTTCTGGCCACCCCTTGGGTGGGTGTTTATAGGCTGGATCTCCTGAGTGTTAGCAGATTTGTCGAGATGTTGGCGAAGGTGGTTATTCTCTGCCTCGAGATCATCGTTCTAGCGAAGAAGGCAGAGCCGCACTTCATCGCTAGTCTTGTATGTAGCGTCAGGGATGGTAGCATCACCCGACGGAGGAGCGGGGCAACCGAGTGCGAGCTTCTCGAGTTTCTCCCAAGGCGGCCTGAGGTCTTGTATGTTCATGTAGCACTCGGGTTGCTCCATGGGCTCGATGCCTTCCTCTTTGGGTAGTTCCTCCTCTAAATCGGGATTTTTGAGGAGGAACTAATCGTACTCGTCTTGATCAAAATCGAGGATAGGCCCTTCGTCCTCTGCATGTTCCTAATCTTCCAATATGTCTGCCATATCTTTGTCGCCGCTGGCGACCATCCTGATGAACAAGGTAACCAGATTGTCGAAGTGTTCGGGGGAGTTGGGACCGCAGATGGGACGCTCCTTGGTGCGAGGTCCGGCGGGTTCCGCCAGGGCTTGTTAAAGCCAGCTTGAGTAGGTCGCCGCCACTTTCCTTAATTCGGTTGAGAAGACAGGAAGGAAGTGATCAGGTGGCGGTAATAGATCTGACCGGGGAGTCCAATTTGGATCTTCCTAGAGTCGAAGAATGGCCTCGAGATCACTCTCTCGACCGAGCTTGTTGAAGACGTCGTGTCCGTAGCAGTTCAGGTGTTGGGCAAGAGTGCGGGGCCCAACATCCACATCTTCCTCCAATCCAACAAAGAATGCACAGATCGGGGGAGGCTACTCCTCCTCCACGGGAGATTCGGGTTCTTGCAGATGCAAGTCCCTAAACTGGTCGACGATGAAGTCCAGGCTGCCGAAGGTGATCCTCTTGCCTTGCTGCATCTTCTCCGCGGCGTCGTCGATGTTGATGATGGTTCCCAAATGAAACATAATGTTAATCTGAACGCGAAAGGCCCCTACCTGGTGTGTCAACTGTCAGATTATTTAGCTCCGGCAATGCCTAGCAACATGATCGCGTAGACGGATCCAGATGGTAGCACACAAGACACAAGGACTTATATTGGTTCGGGGCGCGGTGGCACACTAAATCCTAATCAAGTGGGTGCTGCTGCTCTTCTTGTATTCGTATGCTCGGTTACAGGGGCTGTTGCTCCTAGCTACAAGGTAGATTGGAATGAGGCGATGATGTCATGGTGGACGTGACGATCGTGGAGTCCTTACCCCTCTTTATATAGGCAGAGGGGTAGGGTTACAACGAGGGCGATCGGCGCTACAGATTAGATTCGTAGTTTGTTACAACAGATCAATTCTATCCTACCATAGCTACGATGGCGGCAGATATCCTCGATATGTCGTGACCTCCAAGTTGGTGATTGCGCCTAGTCCTCGCGGGCTTCATCCTCGGTCGTCCTCCGTTGATGGGCTAGATACATGGTCGGTGAGGGTACCCTGGGCCCATATATCTGACAGCGGGACAGGTTTAGAAGTTGGAGGTGCGACCACCGCCACCGTCGCCACCACCGCCCCTGGTTACCATGCTTCAACCATGCCCGCAGCAGCATGGTGACGGGAATAGTTAACTCATTATATATTTTATTTAAAAATAATAACTAATTATATAATAATAAATATACACTAACAAGTAATTTTTTATTAGTAATTGTTATGACAAAATTAGTGCACATTTGTCATGATAATTATACTAATACGTTAATTAACACTATTACTGTCTTAAATTTCACACAGATGTGCACTAATCAACATAGTATTACTTATCAAAACTAATCTTGTCATCATAATAATCACTAAATAATAATGTAACATACTAATAATTGTTAATTTATTTATTGATGACAAAGATTGGAGAACTTGGACAGACTTGTTCAGCATATTTTTATAGACAAGCTGATATTCCTATCTAAGTCACCTGCGAACGAAACATTGCTTGTCCAAGGACCGCTATGTCCCATCTAACATATTCGTCAAATCAAACACATCCCTAGTTGATTTCACCACAACTCCATCTAGTGATATATGATGTGCAACTCGGTGAAATATTCGGGGTCATACAATCTCTATATAGTAAACGTGAAAATCATATTTAAAAAAACTTACTCAGATGTGTATCTGCCGGCAACTCCATCTGTTTAGTCCAAATAAATCTTCCGGCGAAATCAGATGATTCTCAGTCTGGATCGTGTTTCATGCGATGACTTTGGTGATTGCCACGACGAGATCGCTGTTGCGGACGTCGATTTTCATCGGAAAGCGGCCAATTTGTGACATTTGTCTGCAAGGGGAGGGGTGCTTCTAGACGCTCCCAACGAGGACAGCTACTCCGGATCATCGATCTCATCGCCGATGGTCGTGGAGAGGAAATCAAGGTTTGGAGATGATGAATTTGCATCCTAGGTTGTACCTAGCGATGCAACTGTCAAAATTTTTCTATCGATTTAGATGCGTTTTGGACTGGTTTCGAAGCGTTGGATCTTGTGGCATTTCTAATTTTTTGAGGTCGGTCATTGGATTCGGCATAAGGACTGTACTTTGGCTCCGGCATTCGAGGGAAGCCATTGGAGAAGAAGACGATGAAAAATTCTGGATAGCATATTATGTCTTTTTTATTTCAGATTTTTTCATGTGCAATTTGAGGATGTACGGTGCCGAGTCTTAATATAATCCCCCTCCTCTTCGCCAAAAAATAAAAAAGGTGTATTCACAGGATTATAGTATAATTATTGTATGATGGTAAACTGAGAAAGCAAACAACGGAAAAGAGTTTATGATAAGGTTAATAGGGACAGTGCGACATCAAAAGAGGAATAAAGGGGAGCGCGGTTTAACAAGAGAGGAAGTTACAGGCCAAGTTCTGAATTTTATTAAGGGGAAGGAGGTGAGGGCGTCGAGTTCAACGATACAGACAGTTCAAAGATGGTGCGCTCCGCCACGGGGACTCTGAAGATCAACTGCGATGGTGCGTTCATACAGGATACTTTGAATGGCAGTTGGGGATTATTCATTATCAGGGACCGTCAAAGTGATGCCGTGGCAGCTGCCGTGGCAGCTGGTGCGGGGCGCCTGTCAGCAGTTCCGGATGCCCTTACTGCTGAAACATCGGCGTGTGCAGAGGCGCTGCAATCGGCGATAGATTTTGGGATCTCCCGGATACAACTAGAGATGGATTCATCGGTGTTTAAGAAGGCCTTTCTTTCATCCTCAATGGATTTAGACGCAAGCGGCATGCCCACAGCGTGCTCTCGCATAGAGTTCTAAAAAAAGGAAATAAAATAGAACGACACTCCGTTACCCATTTCGCATCCCCAACTGCACCGCCGCCCTTCGCTCGCCTTCTCCGCCGCTGCGGCCGTGACCCTCCCCCCACTCCATGACGGCCGCTCCCCCCCACTCCATGGCGCCATGGCGGCTCGAGCAAGCCGTTGGCGCGCGGTCGGCAGGATCAAGCAAGCCGCTGACCCTCCCCTACCCCGACCGGCGGCGCCCTCCCTAGATCTGGCAGCGTCTCCTCTCCCTCGACTGACGGTGAGCATGGCGGGGGCGTGCGGCCACGCAACATCCAGCGCCGCGCCGATCCACCTCGCCCGTCTCGGAAGGGGAAGCAGGGGAGGCATGCGCCTGCGCCCCCATCCACCTCGTGCCGTCGGCACAAAGGGAAGGCCTGCGCCACCGCAGTTGCCCACCAGTTAGATCATGGCCGTGCGGCGATGCTGTGTTTCAAATGTTTCTGAATGTTTTTTCAGACATGTTGCAGGACCATATTTCAAGTGTTTTAGTTCTTTCATATGTATGTTTTAATTGTTTCATGCGGATACTGCAAATGTAGATTGAGATGTTGCATATGTTGCTATGGTTGTACACGTATGTTGCAAGCGTCTATCCCCAATGTTTTATCTGATTTTGTACATGTATATTGTAATTTTTCAGACGCATGTCTCAAGTGTTTCATCTGTCTTCTTTTGTATGTTGCAAGTGTTGCATCTGCATATTTTAAAAGTAGATCGAGATGTTGCAATGGTGTTTCAACTGTATGTTCTAAATGTTTCATCTGTTTTAGACGTATGTTGCAAATGTTTTATCTGGATGTTGTAAAAGTAGATCGAGGTGTTGCACGGCCAGTAGCTGTCCCTGTGATGGACGTGAGCGTGGTTGTCCCTGTGCGGACACGGACGCGGGAGCAACACAGGTTTTGGAGCCGCGTCCGGACGCGACGTCCCATCCGGACGTCTGGGCGCTAGTCCTTCAAAAAAAATTAGTGTCTCACGACTTTGTCAAGCCTATGGATGCAATAACAAGGCCTTAGAGCCGCTTTTAACTTCAAAAAAAAAAAGAGTGATGCAAGTAGTCAGGACGCTCACAATATAATTCTCTATTCTAATCAAACCAACCCACCACACTTACAAGCTTTTTTGATCTGGAAGCTCATCATCCCAAACTAGCCCTACTGTGTTATTCTAGAATCATTTCACTCACGCGAAACGGTGTGCCAATTCGACGACATATTCTACACCTTGAGGAGTTGAACGTTGACGGAATGACCGCACGTTTCCTGACGTGTCTCTGCAACCCCGGCCACATTATGGTCACTGGCGAGCGACGAGCGACGAGCGACGGTGCCGTGCCAAGCCAAGCCAAGTCCCAAGTTGGAAAAGCCGACGACTCCCGGGCGTCTCATCCTCACCGGACGCCACCAACCCCCGCCATAACCGTCTATTTAAAGCCCACAGTCCGCCACTCTCATGGCAACACAAGCAGGGGAAAGCAGCACTGCCACGCTCAGAGCTGAGCACCTAAGCAGCTTCAGCTCGCTCCAAGTTTAGTCGATCAGCCGATCACTGAAGTAATGGCCTCCACCAACAGCTGGACCCTCGAGATCCCGTCGCCGGTGGCCGCGCCGCGCCTGTTCCGCGCCGCCGTGATGGACTGGCACACCCTGGCGCCCAAGGTCGCCTCCCACGTCGTCGCCAGCGCCCACCCCGTGGAGGGCGACGGCGGCGTTGGCAGCGTCAGGCAGTTCAACTTCACCTCAGGTAAGTGTCCGCGGCATGCCCAGCCCACAGCCGCCCAGACCAACATGTTGTCGCCCGATCGATCGATCAAACCGCTAGCGCATGACGTGCGATCGCTCTTGCAGTCATGCCGTTCAGCTTCATGAAGGAGAGGCTCGAGTTCCTGGACGTGGACAAGTGCGAGTGCAAGAACACGCTCATCGAGGGCGGCGGCATCGGCGTTGCCATCGAGACCGCGGCGTCGCACATCAAGGTGGAGCCCGCGGCCGACGGCGGCAGCGTGGTGAAGGTGGAGTCGACCTACAAGCTGCTGCCGGGCGTGGACGTGAAGGACGAGGAAGCCAAGGCCAAGGAGGCAGTCACCGCCATTTTCAAGGGTGCCGAGGCCTACCTCGTCGCCAACCCCGACGCCTACAACTAAATCAGTGGATTGGGATGCGATTCCCCTTCCCGGGCGGCCTTATACATATACATATTTTATATATACGGAGATTGGGTTTTGTTTCCTGATTCCTTTTTCATACAAAATAAATAAGCTGCTCTAAGCAGTGTACGGTGTATGGACTTGAGATGTTATGAGTAGTATGTACGATGATGTCGTTGTGGGATTATGTATACCCTCATGGTCTTCTGTGTGGGAAGAAAAAGGGCATTCTGTTTTGGAATCTTGTGTAAGTTTGACTGAATAAGGAATTTTGCTCATTTCGAATAGATATTGGGGACTGTTCTGGTGAATATGTCATTATTGAAAATTGAAATTAATATGAAGGCTCCAGGAGCTATAGCTTCACTAGAGAGGTGGGAGAAGAAGACATTTAAGGGCGTGTTTGTTTGAGCGGTACCTTCTGTGTTCTTGACATATAAGTTGGTTTTATGGCTTTGGACTATTGGTTTTTTATTTTTGTAATAAATTTTTAGCTTCCGGACAATCAAAAGTCACGCAATCTCTTCTCAGCAGCTTTTAGTTCATTTTCTGAGTTTAGACGAAAGTGATGCTCAATGGCAGCCTCAAACGGTCAAACCCTTATCCTCGTGTTTTGACAAAGAGCGTGCAACAACACTTTCTGACGTGTGTTTTCGACGCCGGCCTTATTAATAAAGCTCACTCGACCGACAGCGTCATCCATTGTGGAAAGCCCGACGACTCGCCCAGCAACTTGAGGCCTCACCGGTCACCACCGGACACCAACGGGGCAAGCGTCACCAACCCCGCGTTCACAGCATCCTGTTTAAATCCCTTGTCGGCTGTTGCCGCTCGTTCTAGCCAGCAACACAACAGCAGCTCCAGCTAGTTGCATCGTCAGCTAAGCAAACAGGGCCTAGCTGGCAACGAGCCAACAAAGCTCATCGCAGACCACCAGCCATAGCCTCCACTAACAGCTGGACTGTTGAGATCGTCTCGCCTGTCGCCGCACCGCGCCTGTTCCGCGCTGCCGTGATGGACTGGCAGACCCTGGCCCCCAAGGTCGCCTCCCACGCAGTGGCGGAGGTAGGAATGATTTTTAGGTACGGCGGAGTTTATAAAGATCAATCATATATAAGGATAAATATGTAAGGGCAAACTAAAACATTATATAAATAAATATTACTTTGTGATATACTCATCTATCTTTAAATATCTGTCATTTTCGCTTCATGAGAATCTATGCCAAAAATATTAATATTTATGGTACATAATTAGTATTATTGAAAGATCTTTAAATCTAGTTTTTTAATAAATTTATTTCGAGATACAAATGTTGTACGCATTTTCTATAAATCGAGCTAAACTTGTGGTACGCACACCAACAATGATAGTTATTTATGGACGGAGGGAGTAATAGAAATCCAAACGTAAAGGATTGCCACTTAAATTACCTCCGTGTAATCCGTATCAATGTATATCCTTAGGTAAATTGATTATCATATAAATATAATCCAATTACAATTCTAACTTATATAATTCCTTTCATTACGTATTATGTATTTGCTCTTCCGTGTAATATGTATCAATGTATAATTGTACTCGGACTCGTGGCTTCCATCCACAGGCCAGCGTCCGACTTGCCGGTCACCGCCTTTTGCATGTGGTACGGCCGCCGCATGACAATGGGCTTCTGCCACTCTATACTTATAATTGGATTGGAGAAAACGGACGAGCGGAGGAGCCGATTGATTAGGATTGATCGTGGAAATTGGAAAAGAAAACGAGACGCGTCATGCGGGCTGGCACACGTATTAGCTTCTTGCGTTGGATTTGCTACCATAAGGCCCACCAGACCCAGCAAGCCAGCACGTATAACGTATTCACGCATATATACAGTATATATAATTGGTCTCTTAGGTATGGCGGTTGCCAACCCTTGCCATATACCTGCCTCCGCCCATGCTCCCACGTCGTCGCCAGCGCCCACCCCGTGGAGGGCGAGGGCGGCGTCGGCAGCGTCAGGCAGTTCAACTTCACCTCAGGTACGTTCTTGCCCTACCATCAAACAGGTAGCTGATCAGGTAATCAACATGTTTGCTTGCTCGTATACGATCGTGGATTATAAGCTGGAATAATATTTTTCTCTCACATCAAACCAGCCAACAATAAATAATCCACGATCGTTTACGACATGCGGAACAGGGCGAATAAGTTCAACTTCCCCGATCATGCAAACTCGTAACATGCGTGTCACTGCTCCTGCAGCCATGCCATTCGGCTTCATGAAGGAGAGTCTCGAGTTCCTGGACGTGGACAAGTACTAGTGCAAAGTCGACGCTCGTCGAGGGTGGCGGCATCGGCGTGGCCATCGAGACCGCGGCGTCGCACATCAAGGTGGAGCCCGCGGCCGACGGCGGCAGCGTGGTGAAGGTGGACTCGACGTACAAGCTGCTGCCGGGGGTGGAGGTGAAGGACGAGATCACTAAGGCCAAGGAGTCGGTCACCGCCATCTTCAAGGCTGCCGATGCTTACCTCGCATTGGCGGAGCCAAAATTCTAAACTTGGTTATTTCTATATCTACATTAAAAAAATGCTTTCTAGAATCTATAGTTTTGGTTGAAAATTGCAGCTGCATAAACAAAAAGGTGAACAACATGGAGCCTTGACAAGTGGAGAGCGGTCAGTGGAGACTACGGAAGCCAGGGTAGAGTGCCTAATTAGGCCTAGTGGGCTGGCCTACGAGAGTGAGACTGTGGAAGCCAGGCTGAAAGCCCGTTTTTTCAGCTGTTTTGGGCTAGAATGAGCAAAAGTATTATAGAATATTGCATTATACATATGTATATACAAGTATACATACATATATACATAAAGGTGTACTAAAATAGTTGAGTATTCCCAGGAATACTGGGAAATACCCTTGGATCGGCCCATGTTACCTCGTCGCCGATCCGGATGCCTACAACTAAACCATATGATCGGGAACGGATATCTTAGTCGTCTTTTGTGTTTTCTACGGCTAAAATAAAACTTCTCTAAGTTGTCTACGACGAGAGGAGAGATCGGAGAGCACCGAGCAGAGTATGGAATTGACTGGTGTCAAATGTGTGTGGTGTGTGTGTTTTGTAAGCTGGATTTGTTGTGAGTTTAATTGGTCGCCGGGGTCAGTACCCAGTACTAACTTGTAGGTTGAGAGAATATAATACCATATATAACATTAAATTAAATTAAATTAATATTATAATAACTATATATTGTGACAAAATAAGCTTTTACAAATTGCAACAGTAGTTATCTTTTAGAGTGTCCCTCGAAGACCGGTGGTCAGTGTTCAACCTATCAGTTGGAACACAAATACCGGAGGGAAATGATAGAAACGAAAATCGCAAAACTCGATGAAAACCAGTTGAAACTTCGATCAAAATTTGCAAATTTTCATGAAATTTTAAATAGAATATGAAAAAAAATCTGAACAAAATGGAATCAAAACTACCGGTACTTGAATTTTCCGGAGGTCACCGGTAGGAACAAAAATCACTGATTTTTGGTGAAAATCGGCCGAAATTTTGATCCGTGCCGGTGGTATCAATGTGCTCTGATTGCCTATCAAATTAGTCATATAATAAAAATTGTAGCATATACTAGTGGCCCTGTTCGCTTCTCTTATAATATGTATTTTTTAGCTTATTTTTTCAGCCGAAACAATATTTTTCTCTCACAACAAATTAGCCAGAGCAGTATTTCGGCTTATTTTTTCAGCGAAGCGAACGGGGCCACTAATGTGCAAGCATCCATTAGTACAGTTAAAAGTCACCAGTGAAATGAAAGCCATAGTGCCATACTGAACTACTAAAGTAGCATACATACCTAGCATGTGGCATCTTGGTCTGAATGAAAAAGCACGTTCTTTACAGGAACGCAAAGAGCTTTTGGCCGGCGGCCACTTCCCGCTGGGACTTGCATCAACGTGAGATCAAGAACAGATGACGCCACGACGGAGCTGTGCTGCTATGGCTAGGGGCCAGGCTGCCGGCCAATCTCCCCCACAACCGCGGAGGATTTGAGAATTGAGATGCGAGACTACGAAGATGAAAGGGTGTGGATGTGGCCAGGTTGTACCGGAGGGCGGAGGCAAGCCAACGTTTGGTATTCTGGGCCTACGAATGGAATATTGATCGACGGATGGGCTGAGGAGATAGTTGGACTGCAGACTGCTACTGCTGGGCTGCCGGCCTGCCGGGGTCGTAAGTGTTTTCTACTGGGGTCTACGCAGGCAAGAAATCGCAGGGTACAGGGAGGATCGCAAAGTCGTCAGTGTCGCCCGACCCCATCGAGTGAACGTAGCTTCGCCCCTAGTTTATACCTAGTATTTAAGAGCAGAAAATTTTCCGTCTCTCTCACTCGCTCCCCCACATGACCGTCCATCCACTACCTCAAAACACATATTCCCTATCGGGTCTCAACCCTCTATCACTACCGGAAAATGAGACAGCAGTGGGCAACTGGCGGTGATATCTAACATTACTGCCGCCGGTTCTACTCTTAAACCAACAATGATAGCATTATGATAGATCGCTATGGGGTTAGGAGTAGAACAGGCAGTGATGTTTTGAGTAATACTATCAGCTTCCAGTGTAACTTACAGTAATATCCTTATGATTACTGCCGGTTCTAGGTATAGACCCAGTAGTGATATGATTTTTCCATATTCCAATTTATTAATTTATTTGGTTATTTTTGTGTAACGTTTTTTATTTCCTATGGTTATTGAATTGGATGTTTAAAGCATAACATACATCGTCACAAATCCATCAAGATTTACAATACAGATGTTACAATATCGTATATGTTACAATGAAAATGTGTATATTGCAACATCGTCTTCTTCATCTCTTTACACTTCATCTTGTGTTCTACACTATTTGTCTTCATCAGTAGAATCTGAAAGATCCTTCTTTACTCACGATCTCGTCCATGATGGAGGCTGCTAGCTCGTCTTGCAATCCTCTGATCTCAAAGTCTAATAGCTTTTGGGTTAAAAGTTCCTTGCATTGTCGTTGAAGTAAGATGATATCGAATGCACAAGTGTTAGACAAAACAGTAATGTGTTTTGTTGTATTAACCGATATACGTGAAATGGGAAGCATACACAACATATTTCTTTCCGTTGCACTCTCACTGAGGTACCAGTGGATTGCCCACATCATGTAGAGCGTGCATTCGTTATTGGCCATCGACAGTTTTAGCGTATGCACTTGCATATAATCAACCTTGAAAAGGTTGTTCCTGTGACTGTCCATATTTCCCTTACTCTATGTGACATTATAAAGTGTGAAAAGTGGTGAAATTAGAATGTGTTATGTGATTAGAAAATTATATGTTACTGGCTTCACTTACAAATTTAGCACGGTAAGTGGACCATTGATTTGAGAAAGTTGCCTTCTCTTTGAATCCCACACTTCGACACGTGATTCTACAAGTTCGATATCTAGGAGGACATAATGGAACCTGCACTCACAAATGTCCAATGCAAATCAGTCCTAGTTAATGAATAGCCATAAAAAAAAGATAAGAAGCACCCAGTTAGGACAAGAACACATACGCGTAGTTGTAGGCTTGGAGTATTGTCGACGTAGAAATTTGGTCACTGTGCAGGATACCCGACAAGCCTGGAAGATTTGCTTAACTTTAGTGCAGGTCCTGTCGGTTTTGGATTTGCGGGCGTGCCAGACAGTTTGACCTGTAATTGACAAGAAAAAATATTATAAGTAATTTAAGGCGGAACATGTCGACTGTTGTCTAGATAGTTCCAAGTATGGCTAAAGAGCCGATGGGTAGGGTTATCAACTACAGAGCCGATATCCAGCAGTTTGATAATATAAAACAGTTAAATAATCATCATCGGCTATATTCATGTATAAACAATATGTATCAAAGAGCCGATGAGTATGAAACAGGATAAATCATGAAAGCACAGACTATCAGCTATAAGGCCGATGCAACATAGTTAATTAAGTATAACATGTAAACAACCTTCTATTTTATATAAATAAATCTACAAACTAACCAGATCTAATCTACTATTATCATCAATCGGATCAGACTGATGAAGCGTTGGCAAAAACAATAAATTGAAGCTGGCAAGCCAATAGATCAATTTATATCCAAACAAAATCTTGAAAACATGCTATAAACGATGAAGCCATAAGCCATCGGCTACATAGCCGATGAAAGCATAATGAATAAACAAATCCTCGGTCTCCTAATAAATGAATCCATAAACTAACATAACCTAATCTAATGTCACTATCAAACAAGTCAAAACGATAGAGCGTTGATAGCAGGCGATAGATCATAGATTATCAGTCAATGGATCCGTTTATAGCAAACTAAGACTTTGCACATACATTATGGTTGACTAGGATTAAAATACACCAGCCGATAAAACAAATTATGACGTCAGTGTATAAATTAATCGCGAAAACCGGTAAGACGACATATTGTTATGATAAGAGCCGATGGATCTTAATCTAGTCGGGTAAATTGGTGATTTTAATAAATCTAAAATTACTAAAAATAGTAAGATCAATAACGGGTGATTCTACCAAAAACAGCAAGAGCTCATAAGATGGAGCCTTACTAATCTTTAATAGGATCAATAAGCGGTGATTCTACCAAAAATAGCAAGAGATCATAAGATGCAGCCTTACTAATCTTTAATAGGATCAATAACCGGTGATTTGATGTCAAATTAAGCAAGAGATCAAACGATGTAGCCTTACTAAATTAGATACAAATTGTGACTAATACCAGATCAAGAGATCGAACGATGCAGCCTTACAAGATAAGATACAAGTCATGACGATACTTACAAGCAATCCGGAGATCGAAAACCGATGAGCCATGTTCACGGAAGAACTCACCAAGATCTACCTTACTCCTACTCCTAGTGCAATGGCGTGAAAGCCGGAAAAAATCTTGTATTGATTGTGATTGATGTTCGGTTACAATTGTCAAGGTTCATATTTATATACCCTAGGATTAACACGAGTCCTAGTCGAATAAGATTTACAATTCTTACGATAAAAGAAAATAACCTGATTCAGATAAATTGGACTCTACGCATCCCTTTTCTGGCAGAGTCCGGATCCTTTTCGCTCAAGCCAACACCGCCTCCCTTATCGGCAGATTCTATCCTCTTCACACCTGAGCCGATACTGCTGACGTCATGGTCTTATGGACGCATTTAGCCGATTCCGACTCCAACGTACATGAGCCGGTTCCGCTAGCGACGCGGTCTTCAGGTGTCCCTCCAACTTCTAGATTC